TACAAGTAGACGCTGTGGCCATTCTGCTTGGTTATGCTTATTCTGTAGGAGCTATAACCAGAATACTTGGACGTGGACTAAATTCTGACTGATCACGTTCAAGGGCAGCAGGCTGTGCCGCAGGTGGCACTGCTCTGATAAAGACAGGTTATCAATATGAAAGTAAGGGGCTTAATTATGTCCAACAGTAATAGAGCTGTTGAGACTTTCCAAATGAGGCAGAGGCAAGAGGTAAGTTCAATGCCAGCCCGGTCTACTTAATGAGTTCTTTTTTTTGTTTGTTTTTCGAGACAGGGTTTCTCTGTGTAGTCCTGGCTGTCCTGGAACTCACTCTGTAGACCAGGTTGGCCTCAAACTCAGAAATCTGTCTGCCTCTGCCTCCCAAGTGCTGGGGTTAAAGGCGTGGACCACCACTGCCCGGCTACTTAATGAGTTCTAACCTAGGCAGGGGCCCTTAGTGAGACTGCATTTCACTGAAACAAAAGACTCCACTCCAGATGAATAAGGGGGGGGTTGTTTTGTTTTGGAAACAAAGTTTCATGTAGCCCAGGCTGGATTCCAACTAGCTATGAATCCAAGGATGACCTTGAATGTCTAACCCTCAAGCTTTTACTTCCTGGTGCCTGAATTCCAGGTGTGGGCCACCATGATAGTTTTCTGGGTGCTGGTGGTGGAATCCAGGGCCTCCTGCATGCTACTTGACTGCACCTCCAGCTGGAGACATGAACCATTTAAGTGAAAACCAGTTTGGCCTTTATCAACAGTGTCAGACAAAGGATCTTGTATTGGGGATGGGGGGCGGAGGGGCTTTGGTGTGACGGTGTTTCCCGGCTAAGCTTCAGCCACCCCTGACTGCTTCAGGGATAGCTATGGTGGTGTTCCATGATCTGGTCTGGGTAAAGGCACAGAGAGAAGCTGCACTCCTTTCCCTGCTTGTACTCTCTGTAATATATAATTGTTTTTCAGACCCTGATGCGGAACCTGTAGATAGAATCCTCTTATTTAAACATGATGTAAGGTACAGCCTATACTTCATATGAAAACCCCGGAAGCCAGCATCTCCCTGCTGCCATGGAAGTGTATAATTAGCTCGGTGTGCAGCTTGACCCCAGTGATTTTTCTGACGCATTTGGCCCGCAGTGTGCCCTTTCTGAGACCTCCTGTGTCTTCTCCACAGCTGGAGATGTCCTAAACTGCACGCAGCACTTCCTGTGGGCGTGGCCTTGCATCTTAGGAGCTCCTTGGGGCTGACTGCCCTCCCTTAATGGTCACGTGTTTCATTTACTCACAGACCCACAAAGCTCTTTGAAATGGACCATAAGTGGTTCTATCGATCATAATTGAGTTTTCCGGTCCCTCCTATTTCTTTTTAAAACATGATTCTCTGATGGAGTCCTTTCAAAGAAACACTATAATTGGGCAGCCTGGGGCATGTGGGAAAGCCTCCCCCCACCCCCGATGGCGTCAGTAGCTATTCTCAGGAGAGGAAAGGCAGGGTATCCCCCCTGGGAGATGACAGCACTTGTTTCAAGTTGGGGAAGAGCCTGTGGTTCTCTTCCTGCGTTTGGAGGGGAAAGCGAACACACAATGTTCATTTCCTAAATGCGGGACGTGCCTTGCCAGCGTCTCTTTTTCCAGCATGTCATATCCTGGCAGAAGGCAGCAGGGGTCAGGGCAGGAAACGGCAGCTTCTCAGAATGAGACAAGGCTTTCCCAGGGCCGTCATTGGCTTCTGTGAACTATAAAACACGCTCATCCAGAAACAGTCTCCCACTTTTCTTCCTGGAGGCCAGATTGAAGGGTAAGTGGGGAGTCTGAGGGATGCACCTATAATGGGATTGATAACATCAGGGTCAACTCTTGGGCCATCATGTATTTGGGTTGACTTTTTCTCATTCCATTCTTCTTGTTACCTGAAAACTTCTTACTGGTCAGGTAGATTATGGAGGTCAACAAGGAACAGTAGGACCCATGAGTCAGGAGACCCGTGTTCTACAGTTGGTAGCCTGTCTCTAAAAGCTTCGTCTTAACTGAAGCCAGTGAGCTCTAGCTGTGGTTACTGATGCAAGCCTGGAATTCTAGAGCTCAGGAGGTGGAGGCTGGGGAATCAGGGGTTCGAGGTCAACTTGGAGTATGTAAGAGCCTGTCTTTTAAAAAAAACAACAAAAGCAACAAAAACAAATGGAGAGAGATCAGAAATTTAATAACTTCTGTCCTGCTTGTTCAGGTTTGATATGCTCTTCCTGTGACTTATTTGACACCTTTAAGGAGTTCTGACTGGTGGAAAGTATGACGTATATGAAAATGGGGCTCTCAGGCTACCAGGACAGATGACCTTTTACAGATGAGCCTGGCATCAGCTTTCTCCCTCAGTCACCTTTTATTGGCTTCAATTCAACTGGATGATAAGAAGCCTCCAGTGAGTTGCTAGCACCCTTCCTTCTTTGCCTTGAGACAAGTTCTTGTTATGTAGCCTTGAATGGCCTAGAACTCAATATTTAGACCGCGTTGGCCTTGAACTCTCAATGATTCTGCCTCTGCCTCTCAAGTGCTAGGATTAGAGAGAGGGAGGGGGGCGTTCAGGGAGGGAGGGAGGGAGAGAGAGAGAAGAGAAAGGAAAAATGAGAGACAAGTACCTTGAGTCCATAGGACACAAGTCTCCACAGAATGAAAATCTTTTGCTACATGCACGGTTTGCCACTTTTAAGGTGTTTTCTTTTTATTGGTCCTTGTTTGCTAGGGGTTGGGGAACAGAATAGGGTGTCCTGACAGACAATGGCTCTACCACTGAGCTACAGGGTCATTTTGAAAACACAGCAAAGTCTCTGTTTTTCAGAGCATTTTCTAATAGTCTCCACATTCCCGTTTAAATCTTATTTGCCAGAGGATGATGTCCATAGATTCTGTTCCCCGGGGGGGAAAAAAAGCAGAAGGCAGCGTAATCTCTATCTGCATGCACAGTTAACAGGTTCTGAGAACTTGTGTGACTTGTTCCAGGCTCCAGTGCCGGCCTTTGAAAACTTGACACACGACCCAGTGGTAACCTACCTCCCTGTTCCCAGTCCTGAGTGGTTTATGTATACACGTATTCATTTCGGCAGCCTTGCGGATTGAATCTGGGGGTTGAAGACGCAACACCCCCAGCACAAGTTCTATTGATTATTTGAGGACTCTCTTTTGTGCTCAGGCCAGCTCTTGCCTAAGGCAGCCACGGGTGCGGAGATGCGGACTAACTGTGCATCTGTATCCCCTACAGGGCATGGAGAAGCGGGCGGCCTGGAAGCCGCAGGGTGCGGATGCGCTGCGGAGCTTCCACGGACTGCTGCTGGACCGCCGCGGGCGGCTGCACAGCCAAGTGCTGCGCCTGCGCGAAGTGGCCCGGAGACTCGAGCGTCTACGCAGGCGCTCCCTGGCGGCCAACGTGGCGGGCAGCTCTCTGAGCGCCGCTGGCGCCCTAGCAGCCATCGTGGGGTTGTCACTCAGCCCAGTCACCCTGGGAGCTTCTCTCGTGGCGTCTGCCGTGGGCTTAGGGGTGGCCACCGCCGGAGGGGCAGTCACCATCACGTCCGATCTCTCTCTGATCTTCTGCAATTCTCGGGAGGTGCGGAGGGTGCAGGAGATCGCCGCCACCTGCCAGGACCAGATGCGGGAGCTCCTGAGCTGCCTCGAGTTCTTCTGTCAGTGGCAGGGGCGTGGGGACCGCCAGCTGCTGCAGAGCGGGAGGGATGCCTCCATGGCTCTTTACAATTCTGTCTACTTCATCGTCTTCTTCGGCTCACGTGGCTTTCTCATCCCCAGGCGTGCCGAGGGGGCCACCAAAGTCAGCCAGGCTGTGCTGAAGGCCAAGATTCAGAAACTATCTGAGAGCCTGGAGTCCTGCACTGGCGCCCTGGATGAACTTAGTGAGCAGCTGGAGTCCCGGGTCCAGCTCTGTACCAAGGCCGGCCGTGACCACGACCTCAGGATCTCCGCGGATCTGGATGCAGCGTTGTTTTTCTAAGAGCATCTTCTACGCATATGGAATGTTCTAGATTCGTAGCATCCACAGGGAAGCGCTACGTGGGTGGAGTGCAAAGGATGACAGAAACTCTTCTTGCAGGGCGTCAGTCCTTAGCTCCTTGGGTGTGTGTGAAGGACTTTTCGCTTGTGTAATCCCAATTGAGTATGTGACTCTTCTTGTCTTTGTAGGGGTTGTAGACTCAGACTGGGCCGCGGAGTTGACTTGCTCTCCTCTTCCCACAACAGTCAGTTTATCCACTCACAGACCAAGCCTGACTGTTGCGGTAGACTTTTCCAGCGTGGCTTCAAATTCACACCTCTAAGGTACCCTGAGAGGGGAAGCCACCTGAAGAGCCACTTTAATCCCAACACACTCACCTCCTTCACTTCTATAAAGAAGCTGGGGGAAGGGTGAGATGAAGTCCCTGACAATTTTCAGTGACTGACGTTGTAGCAGAGAGCCATGGCCTTTGACTTTAACAGCCTTGGACTGATCACAGGCTCTGTCCTCCACCTTCATGTGACCTTATCTTGCTGAGACTTGGCTTGTTCAGTGACACAGATGGTGATAAGAGCTCACCCTGTTGTGAAGCCCTGAGACAAGAATGACAAGCACAGAAGCTAGCTCACAAAATGTGGCCTGGCTCCTTGACTGTCCCCCAAGGTTTTGCTGGAAGGGTTAACTGTTGGCCTAGGTCCCAGATTTCTGAAATCAGAAACTGCAATATTGAGGCCCACCTGTGGCTGCTTCTGATGCCCGGTAAACGTTTGGAAATGATGGCAGTAAATGTTCATCTCCATCCAGGTGTGGTGGGACATACCCGTAAAGGCTAGCTAGCACTTGGAGATGGAGGTCAGGGGGACCAGGAGTTCAGGGTCATTCTTGGCTACCTAATAAACTCAAGGCCACCCAGGATTATGAGACCCTGGTCTCAAAAACCAAAAGCAAAAGCAGTTAACTACTGACTCCTTTCAGTTGTTCAAAGCCCCTCCAGAGCCTTGGGGCCTTCAGAGTCCAGGAAAGACTGGCCCAGAAGCCAAAGAAAGACCATGCTGTGTGCTTGTAAAGCCAGTTAGTTATTCTGTCCCCTATGAACTAGGAGACAGAACACCACAGTCCCTTTAGAGGGCAGTGTTGCTCATTCCTTGTAGAGACTGGTACAGAAGTCATGTGAACTTACCAGCAAAAACACAAAAACAAAAACAAACCTTTATTATCTGAAAACTCCAGACAACATATCTTTATTTATTTAAAATTATTTAATTGCTGCCTATTATTTACATTGGATTTTATTTAACCATCACATTTAGAAAATAATAAGAATAGTAAGTATCTGAATAGGAAGGGAGTCTCTTAAGGCCTTTTCCAAGAGGTCAAGTTTGGATTTCTAGAGTCTTTTTCCCTCAGAGAGGACTCTTTAGTGTTTGACGTGATCCTTGTAAGTAAGATGGAAGAGTCTTAAGAGAGGGACGAAGCTGATCTTTAAACTAGTACACGGAGTTTTGGATGGTGGAATATGTGAATGATTAAGCCTATATGTCCTGAAGGTACTTTGCCAGAAAACACTTGACTTGAAAAAGAAAACCTATTTAATTCGGGTGGAGGCATAGAGACACATGAAGGAAGCCTTTAGACCTTGGAAACCTGATGTCCTATGAAATTCTGTTTTTTATAAAATTGTATTATCTGTTGCATTTTGACTTTGGGGCTGTAAGAAAGTTATTATCTATGTTTAAGAGAGTACTTCTAATTTATTCCATGTCTTCCTAAATTATCCTTTAAAAAAAAAAAGTTGGAAAGACTATGAGACCATACCCAAGAAATCGTGGCTGTATATTTAAATTATTTAATGTTAGCCGGGAGGTGGTAGTGCATGCCTTTAATCCCAGCACTTGGGAGACAGAGACAGGCGGATTTCTGAGTTCAAGAGTTCGAGGCTAGTCTGGTCTACAGAGTGAGTTCCAGGACAGCCAGGGCTACACAGAGAAACCCTGTCTTAAAAAAACCAAAAAAAAAAATTTAATGTTATATATTTGCGCAGCCCCTATGCTTCCCAATGATGGCCATGTGTCTGAGGAACTGTAGTTTTGGTGTGAGGGGGAGGGGCTGCTGTTTTTATATTTGTTTTTGTTTTCTATAAACTGTAATTGGGATATATCCTGATTTAGTTGGCATTGATATGGCTTGCTTTTTTTTTTTTTTGACACTGTGTCTTTTTCTAGGTAGCCCTGGCTGTCCTGGAACTCACTCTGTAGACTAGGCTGCCCTCAAACTCACAGAGATCTGCCTGCCTCGGCCTCCTGAGTGCTGGGATTAAAGGAGTGTGCACTATGCCCAGCTTGGTTTTTTTGTTTTTTGTTTTTTTTTGTTTTTGTTTTTTTGTTTTTTTTTGTTTGTTTGTTTTGCTAGTGTCATGTCTAGACGGCCTTGTGAGGGTGCTGGAGCATGCCGCGTGCTCTCCTTATGTCACCCAGCTAAAGCCATTCCCTGATGTCATCATGTACTGATGCTTCCTCTTGGGTTATACTCCAGTACTGAGCTGTTCTATATAAACCAGAATGGGAATGCTTTGAGTATAGCAAAGGGCTAAACCTCTGAGGTTTTTAATCAGTGGTCTGCTTTGTGCATATGGGACAGAGTGTCTACTTTCAATCCATAGTTGGATGTAGTAGTAACTCAGCCTACAACCAAGGCATGGTGGCAGAAGGGTTTCGAGTTTTAAGTTCCAGGGCACCTGAGCTTCAGAATGAGACCTCATCTCAAAAACAAAATGAAACAACAGAAACCGAAACCACATTTGAGTAATCCACTGTTTGTCTGTACTATGGGGGGTTATTTGGTCATTCTTTTTTTATGTGTAGGCATGTTGTGGAGATTGGAGGACTTGCCAGGGGTTAGTAAGGTTCAGTACAGTTGATCCTAGAGACAAATGGTTTATTTCTTCCATGGGACAGTGAAGTGGGTTTTTCCTTTCAACCTTCATTCTGTAAGCAGGCAGGCATAAAGGGTTTGTGGCCAAAATGAAAAGAGAGAAAAATAAATGGCAGGGTTTGGAAAATACGTGTTTGTTCTAAATGCTGGGGTGTTCTTGTGTTCCTTTCTTGGTTTTGCAGTCACCTGGATTGTTTTGTTTCACAGCAGTGGGAATACGTTTGGTTTGCATCTTAAGATTCCAATAAAGTGACATTCTGTTCCATTAAGAAATAATCCTTGGGGCTGGAGAGATGGCTCAGCGATGAAGAGCACTTGTTGCTCTTACAGAGTACCAGGATTCGATTCTCAGCACTCACACGAGACAGTTCACAACTATCTGTAACTCCAGTTCCAGCGGATACTGGTACTCTTCTGACCTCCATGGACACCAGCCATACGCGTGGTATTCATACATATATGTGGGCAAAACATTCATATATAAAAAAAAATCATAACCACTTCCGCCCTCAAGAAAGAAAGAAAGAAAGAAAGAAAGAAAGAAAGAAAGAAAGAAAGAAAGAAAGAAA